CCCCGCCCCCGGCTCTGCCCCGGCCCCGGCCCTGCCCGAGAACCGGCTGCCGGCAGAAAGCAGAATATAAAATATTTACATTTTAAATGACTGCTTTAAATGCTGGCCTTACATTTTGTTCTGTTTCTGGAGTATTTTGTTTTTCCAGATTTTGTGAGATAAAAATTGTACAAATAGTGAATTGTAAACCACTACAATGAGTGTTAGAACACATTTGAAAACTGGATAAATTTGTTTACAGGTGGTCTTTATACCTTGCAAAAATAAATCTTGAATGAGGTAAAGCAGGGATTTTTTTTTCCTTCTAAGCATGACCTTATTGCTGCCAAAATTTTTTTATAAAACTTAAAAGCTATGCTCAGTCTCATTTTCTGCATCACAAAATCCTGGTAGCATCAATGACAGTTTTAGGTGGGCAAACCATACTAAATCACATTCCAGCTTTTTTTAAAGCCAAGCCTTTTGTGTACCCAGAGGAGTTATACAAACCAGCTGGTTTTAAATTTACGGGAAAACAGATGAAAATGCAATGTCAAATGTCCTGATCAATAAAAAGTTCATCTTCAAACATTTTCAGGGCATAACCTTATTTTCATTTGTCACAATCAGACTGAGACTTATTATAACATTATTTCTAAAGAATACTCCTCCAATTATTTATTTCTGACACTTCAAAATCTTTCAGTCTGCTGAAGGGCACATTTAAGAACCATACAACGCAGCTACCAGCTTGCATTCCTTCTGGTGGGAAAAAAAAATAGATGAATCGAGCATATTTTTTTGGCTTGTGCTAATTCTTTATATACAGTCTTACATTGTCATGGATACTTGTATAAAAGGTGAGAGATCCTGTGTAAGCACATGCACACATATGCTTTCTATCTTCATCTTTAGTAAGTGCATTATGCCTAACAGATGGCTGATTACCTTCCACTAATCACACAGACAATCTCACTTTCCCCTGCTTTTCCACTCAGTCAGATGCTAACACTCTTATGCAAAACATAGAATGTCTGTGTCAACCATAATTCAGTTTATCAATCACCACCAGCCTTGAAAGGCTCCTTGCACTCGTTCTGCTCCCCACATCTCCCTTGTTTGTAAAGCACAGGCCACATTTGCTCTGCCAGCTATCAGATCACCCACGTTTTCCTCCTATGGCAGCTACCTCCTGTCACACAAACAATCATTAAGCATTTTAAGCCATACAGTAGTCCAGTCATTGATCAGTGGTGCAGACACTGGGTCCAATGAATGTTAATGAGCTCTAATTTCCCTCACTGTCACATATTGTTAAAATCAGCCGTAATCACTATACAGCCACCTGTCTGTCAAGTAAATAATTTATTTCAATCTCAAAAATGCCACAAAAAAACTCCAAAGAAACTCCATCACTAAATAATTTTGTCTGCTTGCTGACTTTGAAATCTAATGATGTAAATTTCAGCATCAGATTTAACAAGCTGATTGACGCTGAATTTTCTTGAATAGATACAGTGAAAATGAATGTCTCACAGACAAGTTATATTGTAATGTCTTTTCCATTTCAGTAGTCTCAGGAATTCTCTGCCAAGTTATAGGGCTCATTATACTTTTCCTTGAAAATGTAATTAGCTGTATCAACTACAAAGATAAACAATGTCAGTGCACAAAAACCCTGAAATATATCATGTCAGTTATATATAGAGCAAATTGAATTTAATATCACAGCAAGCCTATCCGTGCTACATTGATCCTGTGGCTGATTTCCTGTATGATTTAAGAAATAAAACTATTTCAAAAAGCTTTGAAAGAACTGAATTCTAATGAACCTAATTTAGGTTTTTCTTTTCATATCATTCCTCATGAATGTGTTTCAAAAATACTTCCTTTGCAATTATCTTATTATTATACTTCAAATTCTGAACGAATTGGACAATTTTTCATTTAGGACTGCTTGGCCTCCTATTTCATATGTGAGATTCTTAGAAAGTATATCTGATAGGGAGCAGGATGATACCTCAATTCCTTCAGGATATAGACCAAAGAGGCTTGCACAGTAATTCCAATATTAAACCTGAACACTAACGTGAATCGAGATTACAATTTTTAATGTGACTGATTTAAAGTCCATTAAAAAGTCTCTCCCCAAGGCTTTTAATGGCAGCAAAGCCAGACCATCAGTTTTTAACTGTGGAAATCCAACCATGAACGTTCAGGTTCCTGATTACGTGATAAATCAGAATTTAAGACACCTCAATGACCCAACATAATCTTTGTTATCTATGTTTTCTTTTTCTAATACAAGGTGAAGGAAAATGTGGAACTTAAAAGGCAAGTGTTCAGCCAGAAACTGGAAATTATTGCAGCAAATCAGGGAAAGTGGAAATTCTGCTGGAGGATTCAGCAAAGGATCTGTCTGAAACCGGTGTCCTAGCAGGAGAGATTATGAAACAAATCAACAGTCCAC